GGCTTTAATATATTTAGAGGGTAAACCTACGTTTCAACTGGCTCTAAGTCATAAGAAATTCAAGTCTCTGAAGGTTCCCCTATATTCACTTCACATATAGATAAAACAACCCAGAAATATCATAACCAAAGTAAGTTATTAAATGTACCAACAAGAATAGACACAAAAAGTAACCATCTTACACTTAAGCATCTAATTCTATTAGACCACTTATAAGTATGGCAAACCAAGTGACTTAAGATACACATCTCATGTTAAAGGGACGTCATTATCACTATATCAGAAATAGCAGTCACAAAACTCACTACTAAAAAAAACTCTAACACGGGCTGGGGTTGTGGCTCAGCAGTAGAGGGCTCGCCTAGCATGTGCGAAGCTCTGGGTTCTATCCTCCACACTGCATAAAAATAAAATAAAGGTACTGTGTCCAACTACAACTAAATAAACAAAATATTTAACAAGAAAAAAAACACTAACAGCATAAAATGTCTTTAATGTAAAAATCTTTAAGATATCATCATATAAAAAATACCCAATATTAAAAGAAAATAGACTTTCAGGCTATCATGAGAATTTCCCAGACCACCTTTTGTCCTTAACATTGATGCAAACAAAGAATATCTTCTAACAGTTACCACAGGACATAATACAAAAAAAAAAAAAAAAAAACTTGACACATTTAGTCTCCAACAAATTCTGAAGAATTTACTAAGAATTTATCTGCATTATGACTAACACCAAACAGCAAGTTGCTGCACTGACCAACTGTTTGTTTACATAAAGCTAATATAAAAAGAATAATCACCACTTAATGTTTACCATATACAATGGATGAGCTAAGAACTTCATAAACTTTAGCATACTCTTCATATACACTACCAGATTATCTCCCACTTGTGGATGAAGAACCCAAGGTTCAAGAAGTTAATTTGCTCAGGGACACAGCAAGAAAGAAATCAAACCTACGGTTGGTTGGCTTCCAAGCCATCTTTTCACTAAACCACAATGATTTTACACCATTCTAGCCTAGGGTGTAAGCAAAGCACAATTTTTTCATAATTAACAATATGGCAATATTATAAATGTCAGACATTCTAGAATATTTTAAGATCTTAACAGAGCAAAGAAGGTGGTTCATAAGACCAATCTCTCCTTCTTCAAAGTTGACTTATTGAACCACTTAATACATCAAGAGTAATGTCACATGGTGTGAAAATTCAAAATTTTCAATTTCCTCTAAAAATGAACTTCCAATCAAGCCATCAAGATGAAGATCTCTCTTCAAGTTAGCTACAAACAAAAGGCTTAATGTTGGTCTTCTAGGATCCATTCATTCTTTTGGTAGGACTAGTGAAAAGTCTAACAAAGTAGACTACCTAGTCCTATCACAGTAGAACAAATTTGAAGGTCAGAGCTGTGATCCAGATTAGAAATTCCAGAGCTTTCAAAACAATTTTCCAAGCGTCTGTTAAAGCAAGTGGGTGGTTCTGCTTCAACATGGGTAAATAAAATTAACAGAAAATTCTTCAACATCACTTTATAAACAACTTAAATTTGCTTGTTTGCCTTGGCACTGACCACCTATTGCTTTTTGTGGTTGTTTTTTGGTTTTGTTTTTTGGGGGTATAGGGAATTGAACCCAGGGGCACTTAATCATTGAGCTACATCCTCAGCCCTTTTTATATTTTTATTTTAGAAACAGGGTCTCACTAAGTTGCTTAGGGCCTAATTTGCTTAGTCTGGTTTTAAACTCACAATCCTCCTGCTTCAGCCTCCCCAGCTGCTAGGATTACAGGCATGTGCAACCATGCCCAGCTTCAGGTATTGTTAATAAACTTCAAAACAAAATAAGAAAGGGGGGGGGGTTAAATATAATCCTCAAATTAGAGACTCAAATGACATACATTAAATTTGAAGACTTTTAAAGTAAGAAGTGAATCTTTGTTTTTTAGACAATAGGCATTTGAAAGTAAAACAGAAGCAGCACTGCCTAATGGTTAAAAGCACTAAAGCACTGTAGTCAATAAATCTTTTATGTCTTAAACCCTGGCACCTTTAATCTGCCAATTAGCAATTGTGTAACTGTTAGCATGTAATTTAATCTGAGTCTCAGTTTCCTCAAACGCAAAACAAAAATAATCCTTATCCTGCAGGTCTACTTTACAGATTAGACAAAGCTTAAAAGTTACTGGCATAAAGCAATTAACTGTTGTTAACTATTATTATTATTATATTGCATAGTCTTTGGTTAAGCTGGAACCCAAACTTCTGAAGTCCAGTTCATGGTCTTCCAAGATTATCATAAAATCTATAATTCCAAACTTGCCCTATCACTCCAAAACTCAAAACTGAGACAGCCATTTATCCAACAATCACCCATGAACATCCTAGTGGCCTTCACCTACTTGTTCTTAATATGGCAGGTCAAATAAAAAGGCCATTGAAGGTTTTGCCCAAGGCTCTACTGGAACTTTTCATAATGATTTCATCTAACTAGGTTCCAGATTTATCATTTGTAAATGTGAGAATTTGAGTAGATGGCCTCTGTGGTACCTTCTCTAAAATGATATTCAATAAAAAGCTTCCTAAACAAAACCAAATCACACCCTCAGCGCTTGGCAAATCACTTCATTCTTCAGAAAAAAAAAATTTATTTCCTTGATCAGAAAAATAGCAAAAATATTGCAGACATTATGGGATCACAAATAATACTGACTTTTCCACAAAAGACTAAAATTCACTGTACTACTTACTATTGGATCACTGAAGTCTACACTCTCAATTCTAAAGGTGGTTCTTAATTGGGAACCATTCATTTAGCTGTTCAAAACCTCCTCTCCAGGTACTAAAATGGTAGAATACTTACCTTCTAACAGGTAATATATGAAAATGCTAAAGTAGTTTTGATCCCCCTGGGTAATTTCAGAGAGACTGGGTTTACCCTAAAATATTCTATACCAAATTGGAGTGATTGTAACTTGTGAACTCAAGAACCACGAACACAGTTGTTTTGTGATTTACCACATTTGGGGAAAAGATTATCTAAATCAATGAAAACAAGTTGCCATTTCCTGCTGAACTTATACAAACTGTATTGTATGTAGGAATCAATCTCCCAAGAAGCTAAAGACAATCAATTGCTGAAAAAAAAAAAAAATCTTCTCATCAGTTGTCTCTTATATGTTTTTGTCTTCTTGTTAGAAAGGAAACATTTGTTATAAACCCAACTTTTTAAGCCGTTGTCACTAAAAGTTGAGTTGATGCTAAAATAATTCAACTTTTGGCGATCCAAAGAGGAGTACTTGATGGATTCCTATTAAACACTCAATACATTGACTCCGAATAACTAGTTTGTATTAGAAAAATTTGATCCCATAAGTGAAAATCAGATTCTTCTGGATTAGCAAGAAATATTTCACTGATCTCAGTTCTTCAACAGAGCTCAAGACATCCTATGATACATCCCAGAGTGAAAAAGCAAAAATTTCTGGGGAAAGGATTTCCATATTAGTAGCAAGGAGTTATTGGTGACCTCAGTGGCACCTATAGAATACTTACGAATTTGTGTGTAGATATTCAAATGTTAGCTGAGCTCGATTCAGACTGCTATAATTTGTGAAAGCCATAACTGCAATGGGGTCTCCAGTCTTTTACCCAAGGAGAAATATATATAATGGAGCAGATTTTCCAGGATTCCGTCCAGTTAAGATTAAGTCTGTGCTCCTTAATGACAGTTGAAACAAGTTACCTAGTATCTATCCAATATATATTCAGATTTTTTAAACAGAAATTGATCTCAAATCTGTTTTAATCTTCTCGATGACTATGATGTAATATTTTGGAAAAAACTACGTCATAAACCTGCAGTCCTAAAGAACTTTCAGAGTTAAGTTTCGATAATTCAGACAATCCGAGTGCAAATTGGATTGGTCCAGAAGTAGACAGTCCTTGAGTTGGCGGTTTGTCACTGCTTCATCTTCCAAGTCTTCGCGTTCTTCGAGGCTTTTTTTTATTTTTTGTTCCCCTAAATTTCCTTTACTAATCCGGAAATTTACCAATCCGGAAATTTACCCACTTCTGTCATAAAAGTGAACATTCACCCATGTCTTCGCCACCAGGGATGCCAGTCTTTATATAGGCCCTAGGCTGGAGACCGCGACGTCGATGTTGTACATATGGCGTTAGCTTTACCACTTCCCAACTGAAAGAGCTGCTAGGCACAGACTGCGATTTCTTTTTTCAAAACCCGACCAAACCTAGCTTGCGGTCCCGCCCCAATCTCCACAGGGTGGGGTCAAACTACCTCACACTGGCCCACTGAAACGCCTCACAATTAACCCGCCCAAATCACCTCAGGCGGCCGCGCCCCTCCCCCACTCCCCTCAGCGGCCTCAGCCCCTCAATCCCTTCCCGGGCCTCGGTCCTGCGGCCGCCTCCTCACGAAGAGGAGTTAGTCTCAGTTTTCAAGGCCCGGATCGAGGGCAGTGGCAAGCGCACCACCCGATCGGGCGTTGCCTGGAGCTCGCAGCTGCCTTTGTCCCTCCCCGCGGAACTGGAACCCAACAACCGCAGCGCGCTCTTGGAACCATGTGCTGCCTCCGCCTCCGCCGCCTCCGCCGCCGCCGCCCGCGCGCCGCGCAGGATAAGATGACAGGACTCAGAGCCACGAAATTCAGCGTTTAGGGCTTTTCTGCCGCCTCCGCTACAGCCACCACAGCCACTGCTTTGTCTCCGCTAGCGTTTACAGCCCCGGCCACCTCGCGCACTACCCGACGCCCCAAGCCCCCGAGGCCTCCGCGGCCCATTCCGCCAATCACAAAGCAGCAGGTTCTCCCGCCCCCGCCCTGATACCCCGCCTCCTGATTGGCGGGCAGCGTGCCCCCACGTGACCGGATCTTGGTTGGCCGTCCCGCCCCTGTCACGTGAGAGAGCGCTCCTCTCTTCCTGCTTTCTTGACCCTCTCCGCCATTTAAAGAAACAGTACCGGGGGCGGGCCGAGCGACGCAGCCGGGACGGTAGCTGCAGAGCGGACCGGAGGAGCCATCTTGTCTCATCGCCGGGGAGTCAGGCCCCTAACTCGAAGAAGCCCTGGCGCGCCCTCCCCCCCTCCCCGGTCTGGTAGGGCGAAGGAGCGGGCGCGCGGTCGATCGAGCGATCGGTTGGCGGCTCTTTCTCCTGCTCTGGCATCCAGCTCTTGGGGCGCAGGCCCGGCCGCCGCGGCGCGCGCCCGGTGGCCGTTGGCGCTCGCGCCGCGTCTTTCTTCTTGTACGCAGAACTCGGGCGGCGGCCTATGCGTTTGCGATTCGACGAGGAGTCGTCCGGGTGGTCGGTGGCGGCGGGCAACTCCTCCGCCCCGCTCCCGGGGAGGCGGCGGCAGCGGCGGGATTTGGCGCGGCCGGGGAGGCGGGGGTGGCCGGGGCCGGCCTGGAGGCCTGGCGCCACCCTTCCGGGCCTGCAAGAACCCAGTTGGGGGGACAGGAGGGAGCTGGAGGATGGTTGGTGGTGGGCTTTCTACTTTGCCTTTTCCTCCTCATGCCGCCTTAGTGAGATGCGGGATCTCTGGCAGCAGCTCCGGGGTGGGGATAGGAGCCCTGGAGTAGAAGAGCTGGGTTTGCTTCCAGGCCTATCCACCAGCTGGCCRAGTGACCTTAGGCAAATCACTCTGTAATTTGTCTGCGCCTCAGTTTCCTCCTCTGCCTGTCGTTGTATGTGGGGTTGAAAGCGCTTTGTAAACTATAAGGCGTTGGTATACGTAAAAGATGAATATTGTAATGTTTTTTGAGTTGTAAGAAAACAACAATTACCCATTTGTGGGATTTTGAACCTGGGAACCTTAGATTGGAGTTGGAGATCCCTAAAACTCCCAGATACTGTATGCAGAAAATTTGTGGGAACATGCATTTGTAAGGAATGGTAATCCACAGCTGGCAAGTTTTCAGAGGGTCCTGTGACCCAGAAGAGTTAAGATCGATTCYTGTATGCCACTTCCTTTATGCCACGGGGAGGAAACTGAGGCCTAGATGTCATTTGGGATCCTTTACTACCAATTTGAAGCCCCCCGTTTGAGTCCCTGGGATATGTGAGCTGTTTCTATGGATATTGGGGGTAACGATAAGCCCTGCTGGCTTCTGTTCTGAATMCTTTCTTTTCGCCATGGGGTGCCTGAAGGATGGCTGATGTATATGGTACATGGTACAATGGCACCCAATGTAAAGCAGCTACAATTAAGGGTGGATGTGTTCTGTAATATCAAGCATATTAAACTTTGGCCCAGAAGTTCTTTGTTTTTTGCTGTTTATACTGGTGTCTGACTACCTTTCTTTCTTTGACCATTTTGCTATGTTTCACTTGCTCCTATTTTGTGTCCCTAGTTTGTGTGTTTGGTAGTGAATAGGCTTATTTTTAAATGGTGCTGCCATGCCCAGCTAATTAATGGTGCACATGGATTTTTAGCAWGCAGGCTCACTGGAACAGGCATGGAATTCCTGAAGATGTTTTGGGTTTTTTCTTTATTTGAAGGCTAACATGCTCTGAAAAGTWCTGTTAAAACTCCTGCTGAACCTCAAAAATCAGATTTGGTAGCRATTTGAAACTTTCCTGGCCTGCCATGTATTCTATTGGTTATAAGTGTGATAACKAGGCAGCCAAAATGCCATTTTTTGTTTCTTTGTTAATTGTCAGCTGCTTTTATCAAATTCCAGTCTGTTATCCAGCAAACACTAAAAATGTTTGAACAGTTGGATTTCAAACATTTTAACTTTGTGGAGTGGTGCTTACCAAGTGGTACAGCTCTAAGCAAGTGAACATGAACACTTTTAAGTGTAGTTTGTCCGATTAGATGTTAGCCAGTTCTGCTGTTTCATTCAAATGTCTGAAAAAAAAAATCAGTTGACTGTTCCTTTACCTAAAGGGCAGAGACAAATGATTCACTCCCAGAAAAAATRACTTTTTTTGAAGAAAACTGTGTTGGTCTTTAGCTCTTTTGTAATTAAGTCTGGATGTACCTCAAAAGAATCTTTAGACTGTGGTGATAAGAGGCTTTCCTCCAGAGAAAGGAGGAGAAAAACAACTGGAACTCAAAGCTTGAAATTCTGTAACAAAACATGAGATGTCCAGGATTGGAGGTTGAAAAGGTTTTGCTACAGTGTCCTGCAATCATTGAAGCAGATAACTTTTAGTAGCTGCAGCCATGGACTCCAGATTTTCAAGAACTGGACCTGCAACCCAGAAGAGCTTGTCAGGATGTGGCAGGAATTCTGGAGGTAGTTTTTTTGGTTTGGTTTGTTTTGTTCTGTTTTTAATCTGGGGACTGTTGACCTTGCTGTGAGAAAAGAGGCAACTGAGCAAGCACTGCCACCAGCAATGTTTATGGGAATTAGAAGACCTGAGTTTCTCTTCAGAACTTCTGTGCAAACTGATAACACTCCATCCAAAGTGGATTACGGTACTTGACATTTTCCAAAATGCCCTATTTCACCATCTCTGCACTTTTGTTCATACTCTCTTCTCTACACTGGAAATGCCCTTCTCTTTCTTTACCTGTCAGAATTTTGCTATTTCCTCAGCATCCAGCTCACTCTCCTCCCCATGAATCTCTTAACTTTAACCAGGTTGTTAACCTTTAAACATAACATATTATTATATCTTTCATCTCTCTTTGTATGCAAATTCTTGTAGTTATTTGCATGCATTTGTTCTCTTTCTAGATAGCAAATCCTTTGAAAAGGACCTTGTTTTATGCACCTACATACCACTACCTCTGATGAAGCATTTATTACAAAGGAAGACTTTAGAGAACAGGCTGTCTCAGAATCAGTTGAGTGTGTGCTTAATCACTGTTTAATAACTAAAATTTTTCTTGATTAGAAGAAAAGTCACTAAATATTCTAGGCCCATTTCTATCTTTATTTCATGTTTTATTTTTTAATTCTAATTTTTTTGACGAGAGTACTGGGGATTGAAACGGGGGGGGGGGGGTTACATCCCCAGTCTTTTTATTTTGAGATAGAGTCTCCTTAAGTTTCTGAGGCTGTCCTTAAATTTGTGGTTCTTCTGCCTTAGCCTCCTAAGTTGCTGGGCTTAGCTTATAGACATGCACCACCTTACCAGTTTAATTCTAAATTTTAAAAGATATACGAAGCCCTCGGGCATAAAGAGCAATTGATATGTTGAAGGGAATTTTTTTATACAGAAGCGGGCAAGAACTGAGGTCTTACTCTCTCCTACTCAAAATGTTTAAAGTTAGGGCAGCTTTTTAAAGGAGATGATTTAAAAAGGAGGAAGGGAGAAAGGCAATATGGTTTCTTTTTTGTATATAAATTTTAAATTCACTATGTGCCACTTGCATAGCCACTTCCTTCTCTCTAGCAACTGAGCTCAGCAGCTGGAATACAATCAAATTACTGCCCCAAAATATGGGTCTTGGGGCAATTGCTTTTTGTTGCATCTCAGTTCCTTCTGAGAAGGCAGGAGGTCTTTGCCAAAGAAGTCTTTCAGTTCTTATTAGTAATTGCTAATCAGACCTTTGTGTTTTCCTTTTGGATTTGCTCTCCTCACTCACACCAGTTTATCATCTGTCAGCCTCTAAGCCAGGCTGGTCAAGAATTAGTATCTATCAGGCAGCTGTGCTACTAGCAGACTCTCCCCAGTCTTAGAATTCTGTATTTATAGTCCCATGCATTTGTTATCTTACTTGTTTTATCCCTGCCCCTTCTAGTCCTGTGCCTCCTGATTGCTGAGTGTTCACCTGGACCTTCTGACCACCTTCCTTCTGCTAGACCATCAGCCTACAGACCTGGTACCTGGATTTTTGCTCATGGTGATTCCTGCCACTTTACTACTGAAGAAGGCATCATTCCAGTGGACACTGTGACCCAAGAGGCATTCATCCATCATGATGTGGCCTTTACCTCCACTCCTTTCCTGTTGTACCCAGAGTCAGCACAGCCCTTTATAGTGTAGTCAAGAGTCCTGAAGCCAAATGGCTGAAGCTATTTTAACACAAAGGCCCAGTTTTTTTCCATGAGTGTACATTTCATTTCTTCAGTTAAAGCCTTCAGAGAGACACAATAAAGTTGGACCAGGGGATTTGTAATTGTCAACTATGTCAGAAGAAAGGAAACATCTCTTTGAGAACAGCATTAGACCATGCCCCCCCCAATCTCAAATGATTGAAGTTCATGAACTAACTATCTTGATGGAATCCCATCAAGGTCACTGGACCCTGTTCTTTTTTCTACGTCAAAACTGTAGTAGCCTACTGAATGAGAAAGTAGATACTCTGACCCATTGGGATCAAAAGAAGGCACAGTGAATTCCTTATAGCATCTTCTTTGGGATTACTCAGGAACCAGAACTCTTCACAAAACATAAGAAATTCTACTAAGGAATCCCTTTACCTAATGGCATCTCACAAGACTACAGTCAGACTCAAGAGAAGGCCTCTTGATACATCAAGATAGCACCTATATGGTAATCCCCTGTTTACCTAGCACTTTACAGTTTCAAAGCACTTTTACATTTATTTCAATAATCAAAATAACACAATAATGTATCCCTTTTTTAAATGAGGGAACCCGAATTTAAGAGGTAAAGCAGTTAACCAAGGTGACTCAGCTACAAAGTGATAGAGGCCAAGCCTTCTGACTCCCAGTCCAGTATTGTCCTTGGCATTAACTTACCCACAGTGTTATAATGGCTGGAGATAGGGAATTCTAAAAGTTTTCAGCTTGATCTGGTGACCCCTTGAGGATATTTTATGTATAATCATGTGATTGGTACACCTAGATCAGAATTACACGGCAGCATCCCTAGGGTAGAGAAGCAAACTGTCTATGGTGGTAGACTGTCCAGTCAAAAAAAGCATGTTTTCATCAGTAACAAGATTGCCCAATGTGAAACAAAGCAACTTATAGCTCTTCAGTCCATTTTTTATGATCTTCTCAAGAAGATCATAAAAAATGGCCTAATTGGTTAGGAATCTTGTTCATATCATGTCTTTTTGTTGTGTAATACTAATAGACACAGGGAACTTATTTATAGTCCTCTGTCCCCAAATTAATATTTACAATATGAGCAATTTTTTTCCCTCTGTATATGGTAGATGAGTATCTCGTAGAACTTCTAATTCTGTAAGATGTATCCCTTCCTACAATGCAGTGTAAAATATTAAAGGAGCTCCATTTAACTCTTTTGCCCATTATGTCCTGAGTTTAATCAAATAGGATTTTGTTTTATTTTGTTTTTTTGGCAGCATTCCTTTTAATGGAATGAAAAATTGCTTTAGAGCAGTATAACCAGGGCTTCCTGATTACCAACAAATTGGCCTAGAGACCCGTAATAAACATAGTATCTTTTGAAAACCTTATTCTCATACCTTGTCTTTTTATTTTTCCCAACATTGAGCTTCTTAACACTCAAATACCCAGTCCTTTTTATTTTTCATTCTGACACAGTCTCACTAAGTTGCCAAGGCTGACCTCAAATTTGCTCTTATCCTTCCTTAGCCTCCCAAGTCACTGGCATTACAGGTGTGTACCATAGCACCTGGCTCTCATTAACTGAATTAGTATGTCTATCATCTGAGGATCCCATATGTTGATCATTACCTTTGTTTTTTGTTAAGGAATCCTTTAGAATATTTGTGGGACTATAAGGTTGGGGAATGGGAGAAAGTTAATTCTGCCTCCCAAAACTGAGTTTCATGACATTTAGTATACTTCTCCCTAAAATTGTACTATAAACTTTGTTGCATCTCAGGTGAGTGAGGAGGTTGGGAAACGGACAGGAGGAAGAGACAAGAAAAGGAGAAGTGATAAGAGGAAATATTTTCTTAGAATTTGAGTTGTGGCTCATAGAGGTGTTAGCAGTGCTTAAAGAAAAGTCATCGAGCCACCAGCTTCTTGAAGTTACATTTACAAACAGATGGATGCATTTTGCATGTATATTTAAAAGCCCCACTGCTATTGCAACTAAGAATCATAGTCTTCTTCTCTGGTAGTCATAAGCCTGGCTTTAGGTATCAATTTGTAGGAGACTTGATCTTTAATTTCATCAACCTGTAAGGGGTCCATATGAAGGAAAGAATGAATAGAAAAAATCTTGTCTTACCATAGACTTTGCTTACCTAGTTTCTGGTTTCTGTGACCTATTTTTTGTATTTCAGCATTTTGTGAACAGCTTATTCTTAGATCATTGGTTTTCCAAAGACTTGTGGCCATGAAGTCCTTTGAATGAAAATATGGAAGCCCAGAGTAAAAGTGAAGCTGCTCTAAATGAAGTAGTGAAGCAGAAGTGGGGGTCTGCAACCTGCCATAACCATCATCCTTTACCACCATGGTGACATCAAAAGAGACTTCCTGCAACATGTAGAATTCTTCAGAGCAAAGTTTGAAAACTACTGCCCCAGATGACGTGTTTGAGCTGAGTGGCATTCTAATCTTTTGTGTACCTTCTCTCAATGTGGTCCATATTCAGTTGATGCTGAACATTCTTATGAATATTTACTGCAGACTTAGGAATATGCAAGAAATGACGAAGTGCAAGAAATGCCTTTGCCCCCCAGAATGGTCATGTGGGCTGAAAATAGTGTCAAATGAACCTTCATTAATAGCCCTCCATCCCAGATGGGCTTAAAATCACTCCTGGAATTGGATAGACCCAGAGAGCAACTAATATGCACCCTATACTGACAAATCCCACTTACCAACCTTCTTAAACACCAGATGTACTACTGGTACTGAAGTACATGAATGATATCTTAGACCTTCCTTGGATACATGAAAAACCTACAGGTTGATACTGAAACTGATTCCTCATTGAGACCATCTTAAACCAACTTGTGCATTTGATCTCTCATCATTAACCATGGTACTATACTTCGTATGCAAGGGATAACTAACTATGAAAGCAGAATCCAAATATTGGCAGCATTTCCCAAAGGGGCTCAGTACCTGGTTATCATTCATCTTTTCAAACTACAAATCACTATATGACTCAACCAGTGGTAGTTTACACTGCTCCTTGGTTTATATTCAATTAACCGTTATTTCCAGGACAAGTGAGCCTTTAAAAAAGTTGGGGTTTTTGTTTAATTTTAATTTTCTCCATCACTTGGCATATCTGCTTGTTCTACAAAATTAATATGAATACTAGTCTCTAGCTACATGTAACAGCTGATCTTCAAGACAATCTTTGGACATCCCTTCTCATGTGATTTTAAATGAAGCCATTTGGAAAATTTTTCTTATAGCCAGTGAGAAATGTTCTTGTAATATGAATCTTTTGTGCCTGGTACCATCAACTATATATGCTAGTGATAGTTAAACATAGGCCCTTTGATCAGACCATGGTAGCCAACTCGCTGGGCTACATTTTTGTCAGACTGATATGGAAAAAAAAATACAAATACAGCAGCAAAGGATTTTAATACTTAAAACTTTTGTCCTCGTGGATCTTAAATCACATCTGTCTCAATACTGCTGTTTTATACCAATTAAAAGTGGTTGGCTTTATTCCTTTCTGTGAGATACTGTTAGTCATTAGGACAATTTATTTCTGTAATAAGGATTCAATTCTTGAATTCCCAAATCATATCAAATGAAGAGACTTCGATTTGTGTCCTGAGAAAAATCTCATCCTTTACTGCACAATTTAAGGGCTGGCCATCCTCAGCCACTTTAACAAATGTACACATTCAATGCTGGAAATGTTTTCTTTATGTCCTTGTTTCCTAGCCTCTAGATTAATCGTGATTATGTGATTCATTCTACAAATCATCAAACAAGACTTAGTCCTGTTGCTGTAGACTGCTTACCCTCAGCACATTAAATCTGGATGACTATTCTGCTTATATATACAGCTTTTATATCTTCAAGATCACTTTTTCTGCTGTCTTCAGATTGTCAAGTTGTCAGATTTTTCCCCCCTGTGCTTTTCCTGTACCTTTCAGAAAAAGACATTTATCTACACTGCCAGTTATTCCCTCTGATCCTATCATACTCAATCAAAATGAAGGGTTTAATATGAAAGTGATCATCTGCTCAAGAGTCAAATGTATCCTGTGCTTAAGAATTGGTAATTAAGAAGGCAAAAAGCCCAAAACTTAAACCCAGGAGTTTGCCTACTATCTCCACACCTCAAATCTTATCCAAATCTTTCAAGAGTGCCATCCAACCAGTCTGAGGCCTTGACTTGCTTGTAAGGTGACTCTCAGAGATGAGCTCAGTTACAGAAGATGAAGACTTGATTACCAAAGAAAGTAGGGCCAACTTTGACAAACCTGGCTCTACTGACCCTGCTGCTCCCAGATATAGTGTAAACTGATAAACAGACCCTCAGGTCTAGATTGGATATGGCCTTTGAGCTGGCTGTTCTTGGGCAAATGAACAGGAAAATGAGAGCCGCTATACCTGACTAGCCCTTTAAGATCAGAAAATGGTATTCAGAGTAAACCCTGTAGAATAATTCTGAAGTACCCAGGGCAAAAACTAATTTATAGAACATTTATTAATCCGCCACATTATATCCTGTCTTTTGGTATGGCTGGTCCTGTTGAAGTTGCCCTGCTTGTCAATTTACCTGTCTCAACTCTTAACCTGCCTTTTTTAACATGTTTCTGCAATCAGACTGAGAAGACAATAGCCAATTTCAGCATATCTTGTGCCCAATCCCATCAAGGATTTCTGAATGGAAGCAGCCCATACTTCACCCCAAAAGGACTTAATGTTCACAACAGGAAAGGATCATGCTGCACACTCCTAGTGGTGAGTAAGCTACACTTGACCATTTTTGGCACCTGGGACCTCTTCTGCCAGATTCGGAAGGGAAAAGTGCAGCAGATGGAAAGCAAATCCATTTCTCTCTTCTGCAGCAACAGAAATGAGTCTGGTTCACCAGTACTCATAGGAATGTACCAGTTCAACTTGGCAAAAGACTTAAAGGAACACGAGAAAAGTTTTCCACTGAACTTAATAATTTATCACAGACTCATATAGCGTTGCAAAACTACTTGCCAATAGGAACGTAGTGGTCCTACTTCATGTCACGAAGATAATGGGACTCTCAGACTCAGCTGAGTTTGCTTGTATTGAAACTCTGGTATCATCCAAAGTACCCTATTGGACATAAATTACTATTCCATTCAAATGGATTATAGACTTCCTGAGGACAGGAAAACYATCCCTCATGGTTATTTTTAAAACAATTTTATTACCAGTGAAGAAACAATGCCAGCATTCAAATTCATAAGCAGAGATCAAGTTTTTTCAATATCTGGTCGTATCCTGAACATCATTTGTTTTTGATTGCCCAGCATCCATTCCATCTCATTGTAGCAATTTCATGATATTTCTTGAAACCCTATCTTCCTATTTGCAGTCCATGTGATTTGGATAGTGTGAGCCTTGGGCTTCAGGGGTATACATGTAATTCAGACCTCATCAATCAACAAAATCCATGTCCTTGATCATAGCTATTGGTTCAGGAATGGTTGTTTGGCTCAAGTTGGTCTATTGTTAACCCTAGGAGTTTTACTGAATTGTGAAGAAGTTTTCTTTATGGAGGTGCTTTAGCTTTGTAGAATGAAAAACTCAAACCAATAAGGCCTATCACGACATTGCATGAGCCACTCTGAGAATGAAGCCAGTGCAAAGGAAAACAGCCAGAGATGGAGAGACTTGAGTCCTGATGACAGCATTTGTGCCCCTGGATCCAACTGTGCCTGAAGCTAGTATATCCCCTGGACTTTGCAGTTATGTGAACCAATAAATACCCTTTTTGCTTATGTTACTTTGAGTTGGGTTTCTATTACTTGAAAGTGAGTCCAGACTAATACAGTACTTATACAAACATTGAAACTTGAAAGGTCCAAGGCTTTATTAAACTAAGGTTTATAGCCTCACTGACATTTTCTGAAGTTAAAGAAATGAGACAAGGACTGAGAGGATATTTAAGTTACTACAGAAGGATAAAAATTACATGGTAGAAAATAGAACACCTAAATGTCCATCAGTAAAGGATTGGTTACATAAAATACAGTTAAACCACATAAGAAAATCTGTTAAAATGATCAAGGCACATTTGTTGGGAATGGACATAGAAAAATGGCCATGATATATTAAGTGAAACAAGTTATTGATAGAAAAATATATAGTGTGAACTCATTTGTATATGCTTATATTTGTAAATGCATAGAAGTCTATTAATGGCTTTCTTTGAACAGTAGATTACACGAGAGTTAACTTTACACATTTCTGTATTTGAATATTTTACACTGCCACATTACTTTTTAAACTTTATTTAAAAAATAAAGAATTTTTAAAAATTTAGTGCTTACTGTTTGACCTTGGCAAGTTACTTAACACTGAGCCTGTTTTTTCAAATGATTAAAAATGCCCACCTTTATAAAAGTGAACATTAAGATACATATTTTTATGTATTGCTATACTTCTCATTGAGAAACTTAGAGCTTGGTAATTATTACTTTTTAATTTGTTATATTTAATTGTCACTTTTTTTTTAGTAGATCTCAATGTTTCCAAAGCAGCTAAGAGTAGAGTGGTATATAAATCTGATTATGTCACTTCTCTGTTTAAAACCTTTGAATGGTTCCCCCATATCAGAACTTTATAGTGTTCTTCAAAGATTATTCCAGTTCTTAAGTGATGTTAACCTTATTAAGACCCCCTACTGCAGTATCTATATTAGGCAGAGAGAGGGAAGTAAGCCACCTTTTTTTAAAACCTGAGATGCTCATATATCACTGCACTCAAGGTCAGTAATGACCTTTTGACTGCTAAATCCATTACATAACTCATATAACCTGAACTTGCAGCAGTACAAACAACTCCCACCAGCATCTCAAAATGTGCTGTGACATTTTCCGTTTTCTTCCCAATTTCCTGGTAACTGCTTCATTGTAATTTCTTTCCTTTTCTCCAACACATTAATATTGGTGTAATGGACAACCATTGCTTTGGCCTGCTCAAAATCACTTTGTTTATTTCAATGATAAAACCCCACTCTTCCTTTGAAAAGCTACTTCCCATTTTAGTATGAGTATAGCAAATTACCCTCTAAGATTTGAGCAGACCAAACTTGTACTTCTACCAGGACTTTGGATCTTCAAAAGAAGAAATGCAAAATGATAGGAATTTAGTAGTTCTGATGATAGTGTCTCAGAGAATACATTGATGTAAGATACCCAAAGAGCCCTGATTCCTGTTCTCAAGTCTTAATTATCCAGATCTGCCTGATTGTAGACTTTTATTTATGTATGAGCTCTTTTTGTCAGACAAAATATTTTTGATTGTTTATAACCAAATAAATGAATAATTACAAAAATTGTTAATAGAGTAAAATGACAGGCTTCAGACCCTCCTGAATATATATGGAGGATCTCAAATTGATTATTGCACTAAGCAATAAATCTTTCTCTATTCCCAGGGGCTTGAGTAGGGAAGTCCATAGTGGCAAAACAGCTAGTAAAAGAATTCCTTCTTATCATTTGGATTCATACGCCTAATGAGGGCAGAATTTGGAAACCCAGGTAGCTGTTGACAATAAAAATAAATTTTAAGTGAATAAAGAAAGCCAAAACCATAGGACATGAATGGTTACTTAGATTTCGTTGGATAATTAAAATGAAGAGACTAGAATAACCCCAAACCCAGAAACTTTTTAGGAAAAGAATAAAATCCAGGGTCTTTCTCTGTCCAGGATGAATAAATGCCTTCGTGCTTAAGTCCAAACTAGCACTTAAAAGATCATTTCCCCAAATTGCTAAAGTACAATGCTAGTTGAGTTTGTAAGATATTAAGATTTCTTGTGACAGAAAAGAGTGTTGATCTGAATCTGGGAGGACTCAAATTCCAAACCTCCAGATATCTCAGAAATTAAAGTTTGGTTCATCCCATTTATCAAATATCTTTGGAGGGAAAAAAAATTTATATGTATGTATGTACACACACACGAGATAAATACCAGATACAGTTTTGTGTCTATAACTACATCACACCCAACAAACACTATTGATAGAAAAGTGTGAATTCATTTTAAAATGCATGGGGTTTTTTGGGGGGAGGACTTTTTTGTTCTGTGTTTGGAGGGTTTTYCCCCCACTCAAAAATCTGTTCATGTATTCCCTTTGTTGGTAAATTATACCACCTTCCACCTGTTTCTCAAGCCAGATTGCAACAGTTACTCTTGATTCTTCCCTTTCTTTCACCCTGAACCTCACTATTAGTCATTACATTCTCTTGATATTCTCATAGAAGATGTTTTCTCAAAAACATCTATCACTCTTGTTCAAAGGAGCATTATCTGTTGCTGGGGCTATATGCCTTTTTAGTGGTCTCATTGCCTTTAGTGTCCTGGTACAATCTGTTCTTTCCAAAGCAGCTAAGAGCAGAGTGGTACATAAATCTGATTATGTCACTTCTCTGTTTAAAACCTTTGAATGGTTCCCCCATGGCTTCAGAATAGAATCTAAACTTTATTCTTATTTCCAAGGCTTTTTTTTTTTTTTTTTAAGTTTGGCTGTGACTCCCAAACTCAAGGGTTCTGACTCTGATTTGAGATACTTCTGAAACTTCATCTTTTCCTGCTTCAAACAGGGACAGCTCAGTTTTGCGTATTGGAATTTATTGTAATATTTCATTTGAAAAAGAAAGGTTCCAGTTTGTTTTTTTCTTTTTTAAAAAAAAGGTCAGAGAGAAGGTTCCATTAAAAGAAAAAAATTGAAAACTCTTATAATTCAAAACAGTCCAATAAGCTATTGCAGCACGCGCAGGCGCACTCTCCCTGGCTCGCGCTCTTTTTTTTTTTTTTTTTTGGTGCTTGGAATTGAACCCAGGGCCTTGTGCGTGCAAAGCAAGCACCGTACCATTTGAGCTATATCCCCAGCCCTTCTTCCATATCTCTTACCATGAAGTTTTATAAGTTAAATTTGATGTGTTTAATTATAGAGATGCCTAGAGAGCACCCAAATCCCAACATGTAAGATTCCTAACATAAAAATAAATAGCAGTAGGACTACAAATTTATATGTTAAGATGAAATATTGGAATATTTAGGAAGCTATATTCTTATGAGAGATCATCGTAAAACAATCTAGAAACCATAAAAGTAATTGCAAAACAAAACTGTAACAAAACTATAAAAATATACAAAACAAAACTGTAAAAGATACATGATGGATTGGAGGAATATTTCCAATAGAAGTGACAGATTCAGAATTAATACCCTTAATGCACAGAGAATTCCTATAAGTTGATAACTACAATAATGCAGTCATTTTCACATAACAGCAGGGATAACATTCTGAAAAATGTGTTGATAGGCAGTTTTGTCATGAATATCAGAATGTGCTTAGACAACTAAGAAAAGACCTATGATGCCACTAGACTGTATTTTACAGGACCACTCTGGTATATGCTATTAGTTGTTGATTGAAGCATTGGTGAGCTCTACATGCCTGTAATCATTAACTGTATTTAATACTTGCTCTGCTAGGTATTGTTTCAGACACTTTTTAAACATTACCTCTTTTAATCCTCACAATTTACTCTAGAGGATAAGTAATGCTTTCTCTGTTTCACAGCTAAATAAACAGGCTCAGACGAATAAAGTAACTTGCCTGTGTCACACAATAGATGATAGGGCTGTGAGTCCCAAACTCAAAAGTGTTCTCTCTGTGCTTTGAATCATGTTCTTCTGCATTTCTATAAGCATATGAAAGAGGATCAAAGTGGTCCATGAGATGTAAATCAAAACAAGGTACCATTTGTGATATCAATCGAATGGCAAAATTTATCAGCACTGACGTACATACAGTGCTGGCAAAATTAGTATATATGAAAACTTTTGTACATTGTTGATGGGAATGTGTATTGTTCCAATCTTTTTAAAAGGTTATTTGACTATCAATTAGACTTGAAAATATACACTTTTTAACCCAGCACTCCTACTTTGAAGACTACCACAGAACTAAAAGTTCCAAGATACAAGGATATCATACAGGAAGTTTACTGCAACGTGGCCTGTGGTGCAGAAAACTGGAAAATATTTGAAAGTCTATCAAAGGGGAATGGCCCAATCAGTTATAGAACAGCTATGTATACTCTGGACTGGTTAAAGTGAATGAAGTCACATCTCCAGCTGTTAATCTGTGGTATACCAGTTTATGATGTATTTCTTAAGCAAAAAGAAAATTAGAAAATGTGTATCATGATAACATGCATTTTATGAAAACAAAAGCCTACAAATGTGCCTAGGTGAATAAAAGAAAAATGGAAGAGCATCAGGTTAAAATTGAAGGATTTGGAGAAACTCAGTACTTAATATATATTGTAGTTGGAAGCACATTTTTTTTCCTTTCAAGAAAAAGTTTACTGAGTTATAAAAAATAATTTAAATATAATTTAAAAGCAATGAGTTGCTAATAAATTTTTCAAATTAGAATATGCTAATAGAAGAACAATAATCAAAAAAAGGGGGACCACAAAGAGTAATGAAGTCTTTTATATTCAGAGTTACCTTTTGAAGATTCTTGGATTCCAGGTGACTAGTCTTCAACCTTTGGATAGGATGCTACCTACAACGGAGGAAGGGCTGATCATTAGTGTGCCATATCCTTGCATTGTCTCCCTGTATCTCTTGTTTCTCAAGTTGAATACATTTCCCAGCATCTTTGCCACTTAGATATAACCCACTGTATTGGGATATTCCAAAGACAGAATCAGTAGGAGATATATATATAGATATATATATAGTTATATATAGATAGATAT